TGTGTGTGTGTGTGTGTGTTGCAAAACCATTATGACAGTGGCGTATCTAGTATTTCTCTGTCAGGGGCCATGAAGGAATGACTTTGAACAGAGGGGGACAGTCACATGTCAAACATCCACACACTGTTCATGATTCAGCCTAAAGCCGTTTTCAGACATGACCTGCAGGTGAAGTCCGAGTTTCCTTTCAACAGCCTCAACCTCTTCAGGTGAGAGGTGGAGCAGACGGCGTGCAGCGGACAGAGACAGGAAGAGATGTATAACTCTGCTGCGGAGGTCACATGATCACCACAAACTCTCCAGACATCTTCGTCTGTGTCTTCTGGGTGTGTTCATGAATACATGACAAAAAGACTATAAAACAGCCGAGAGCAAAAAGCAAAAGTTGCACTAAAGCTCAATGTGAATTATTTTTTTCTTTTTGTGAGTGCGATTCTGCCCCCCCCCCCCCAAAGAGAGAGAATGTATGTTGTAAAAATGTTTCTGTCCATCCCCTCCTCTTACTACTACAACGTCTGTATGTCACCCTCTTGTGGCGAAAGGTTAGTACAAATGCTTGATGTCAATAAACTGCATCACAAAATACTTTGAATACCCGAACATATACTTGGTCCTTACTACAGACAAAGTAATTAAAACTTGCTTGGGCTAAGTTTGGTCACATGAGGTCATTTGAGGTTTACGCTGAGAAAACTTTATCATGATCGAGCTGTGAACAGACCTGCAGCCTGACGTCTGGATTTAATGACCCAAAGTTCCAGATTTTACAGTTGTGTTAAATAAGTTGACTCTATACTATAACCCTGCTGACCCTGCGAACACACTCTTCACTGGCTCCTGTGCGATCTCATGAAGCAGATGCACATTATCCCCGAGATGATGCACCTTATCATCAATTATGCCTACACCCACTCTGTTCCCGTGACAGAGGATAATGTGGTGGAGGTCTTGGCAGCTGCAGACCACTTCTTGGTATCAGGGATGGTTCAGGCCTTCTGCCTCTTCCCAGAGGACCGTCTGTGTCTGAGGAACTGCAGCACAAACATCTGGTGGCTGGTGCAGGACGTCAATCACTGCCCCGAGCTGAATCAGTCTTCCACCACATCCTGTCCCACTCTCAGGACATGGTTTGTGTCTCACAGACGTTCCTGGAGCGTGAAACATGAAGGTAGAGTCTTTGAGACCGTCCTCCGCACCATCAACCACCTGCCTGACCAAGGACGAGCTGTAACTTAGCCATCTTATAACAAAGCAAGCATTGGATTTAAGTTTTACACAACAAATGGTTCTTTGATGAATAACACAAATAAGCATCCTACAGCAACATATGAGTATATTTTCCTGACCAGCAATCTCTTGTGGTTGTGCAACTGAAACCAGGACCCACCACCAGCCCAGTGTTGAGACCTACAACCCCCAGACGGACAGTGCGTGCTGCCAATGTACAGCCCCCACAGTTTGGGCAGCAGTGGTAAACAAATTGTTCCCTCATGGTCCCCCCAGTAAGGAGGAAGCCCAGTCCTGACCATAGTCTGCGAATAATTATGGACAACATGAGAGCTGCCCAAAAGAAAAGCCAAATCATGGTAATGCCCCCTGGTGGCTGGTTGCAGTATAGGTATCCTCCTCATTAACTAGATGGGAAACTCAAATTTCAAAGCACACGCTATTTAATTTTTTCTCAGTTTGTCAATGGAGGTTATTCTTATCCCACTGGTGAATGTTCAAGTGTAAACTTGTTATTTGATGAAAACTTCCATAACACTTGCCATAGTCTTTTAGAATATCCAAAATATTAAAAACAAATGATCAATATTGATTCCATATGGTTAATTAATTGGGACATTTAAACCAAGAGAGAGCGCAAAGGACAAAGGTACAAAATATGATGTTTTCGATTTATTTAGAATTTGGTTCAATTCCCACATGTTTAAAAGTGGGTGACAAAGTTATGCATGAGCCACACTGAATCAGAATTAGGTTTTATTGCCAATCATATAAGGAATTTGTTGTGGTGTATTTGTGCAAGTATAAATATAGAACATATTTAAAAATATAAAATAAATACAACGAAAATTTAATATGACAATACTATAATATAAATATAATCTCAAGGGGGGGGGGGTTGTGCAAAAGTTGAAGGCTACAGAACGTTTCCTCTGTGTTTGTTGATAAATAAACGCCTGCAGAATCACAGCCGCCGCCATTATGGCTCTGATTTCTACACAAATGCAGCGGAAACGCGACACTGATCAGATCCAACATGGCGCCTTTCTCTCCCTTTAAACAACCAACCAATCAGCTCCGTGGGTGTCACTTTCTAACCAATCAGAATCTGCCCGAGGGGCGGGACTCGCGCAGCTGGGTGGATCTGTTTTGGGGTGTTGGAGGTTTTGTGGAGCTGCGGGAGCTGTCGCGGTCATTTCTTGCGTCTTTTCTCCGTCGATCGGCACCGATTTCCCGCGCACCAGCCGCAGCCATGCCCGGGATAGAGAAGCTGCCGATAGAGGAGACTCTGGAGGACAGTCCGCAGGTAAAACCCGTCTTTCCCCCGCAGCCTCCAGCTAGCCTGCTAACGCTAGCCGCTCATCGGGGCTAGGCTAGCTGTCTCTGTAGCTTCGGTGTTTGCCAACAACCCGCGGGCAGATGCCGCTAACGGGCCGGTGAACCAGAGCTGTGGAGCGCGCAGCTTTAACGCGACACGCCCGCTGTTCCTCGGCATCGAAGTGATGGAGTCGAAGGGTCAAAGTGTCAAACATCACCCGGTGTTTGGTTTCCACTGAAATGAACTCGTTTTAACGACCAGGCTGCTACTTCCTTAGCCACCGAGCTAAATGCTTCCCCTGCTGTTTTGCCAAGCGGAAGTGTCGTCCAGCTGCTTTCTGTGACTCCGAGCTGTGGAGGAAAAGATGCTCTGCCTCACATGAGCAGGGTCAGGACACACCACTGACCAGGGGCTTGAGTCTGTGGATGTAGATTCACGGTGTCTGATCCGGAAAGAACCATTTCCATGTTGGTGCAGGTCCAGTTTAAAGGTTCATTGTGTAGAATTTAGCGACATCTAGTGGTGAAGTTGCACGTTGCAGCTGAATAAACCCTCACCTCACCCTCCCCTTCCAAACATATAAGAGAACCTGTGGTAACTTCAGTTGTCATAAAAACCCAAAAAGCGTTTAGTTCGTTCAGTTTGGACTACAGTAAAAAACATGGCGGCCTCCGTAGAGAGGACCCACTCCCTGTGTTAATATAAAGTATTTAAAAATAAAGTATTTAATTATAAAGGGCCCATTCTTTGGTCAAGAAAACCACAATTCACACAATTTAGATCAATCACGAGTGAAAACACCACTAGGATTATTTTGTCTTCAATTTCTGCCAATAGTTCCCTTTCTTCTAAATCTCACACACTGAACCTTTAAGGGGAGGATGGATGAATATTTTATCTAGATTTTATTTAGATTTTTCAAATAGTGTACAAACAACACAATCACATTTTGACTCCATGAACCCTGCACCCAGCTGCTGACATTGGACAATGGATCCATGTCATTGCTATACATATTCTGGCAATGACCAGTATGATATCTGTAAAATGGAATGACTGCGTCAGATTAGAATTTGAGTGGTTGCCCATGAGATAGACAGATAGATAGATAGATAGATAGATAGATAGATAGATAGATAGATAGATACTTTAATGATCCAGAGGGAAATTTTGGGATAATTAAAAGAGTTTGACATCCACATGGACAGTCACTCATCAGAGAGAAAGACTGAACAAGATGTATTGATGGGCTCGTCTGGAATACATCTCAGGCTCCATTGGAAAGTTAATTCCATGAATCGTGGACAAGGCCTCACAGATCACCAGCACAAAACCTTTGCAGTTGACTACAGTGATACCAAAAAGTGCAGTTGAGACACACCTTGATAACAGACTGTGCTGCAGGGACAGGCAGCAGGTGTGGATTCAGACAGGTTGGGTGGTTTTATGATTTAACGCCGGCTTCATTTTCACCACTTGATTGTGTGCTTTGTGTAGACCCGCTCTCTGCTGGGAGTGTTTGAGGAGGACACTGCGGCCATCTCCAACTACTGTACACAGCTTTATCAGGCAATGCAGAGGATTTATGATGCACAGGTACACACACACACACTCACACACAACTAGAACATACAGCTGATTGAATACTGTTTCCAGATGCTCAGTGCTTTGTCTGTTTATTATTCCAGAACGAGCTCAGTGCAGCAACACACCTGACCTCCAGACTGCTGAAAGAGTATGACAAACAGGTGACCCACTTTATACCAACCACCAGCTCTAACACAAGACTTATACGGGGTCATTCTGTGTCAGATCATCTTTGCGCACCGTCACAGATCTTAATTACATTTTTCCAGCTGATTTGGTCATTTGATTAACTTATGGAACCAAAATGTTTTGTGTCTCAGCTCCTGAATATGATGATACCATGTTTGAATTTCTTCATAGGGGACTCTGAGACCTGTCATATCTTCTTGAATGTAGGTCACAGAGAAATATAGTTTCTTACACAGTTTAAAAGCTTCTTTTCAGCTCCTTATTTATCCAAATGTTTTGCTGTTTTTCCGTTTCCATTGGTTTCTCATGTGACCAAATCAGCACTCCAAATTTCATTAATATCTGTGAGGGTACAGCCCAAAATGATGTTATGTGATGATTTGTCATAGAATGACCCAAATATTAATTATAAGACTAGATTATTTCACAGTTTCACACTCGTCCTTTCTGTGAATTGTCCCAGAGATTGTGTTAACTCCAGGAGAGCAGAGTCCTCCTTGAGTAAAACATTGTTGTTGTTGTGTGTAGCGTTTTCCTCTAGGTGGCGATGATGAGGTGATGAGCTCCACCCTGCAGCAGTTTGCAAAAGTCATTGATGAGGTGAGACAACACTCTTCTGTAGTTTGTTTTATCCTCTGCATGTGCCACAACAACAGATTTTACCTGATATGACATCAGATTTAATTATGCCCAGTTGGCTCTGATTGGCCAGCTCTCCCACTCTTTTGTAATTGGTCAACCAGCTTCCAGCGTGTGCAGGAAACATCCGCCTCCGCTCTCACTTTACTTTCAGTGGGCGTGGCAGATTATCTGATGCAATATGCAAATGATGTTGGACTTCTGTCAAGGTGTTTACCTGATTCAGGATTAGAATTTTCCTTCTTCTCCTTCTAGTTGAGTTCCTGTCATGCCGTCTTGTCCACCCAACTCGCAGACGCCATGATGTTTCCCATCACTCAGTTCAAAGAAAGAGACCTGAAGGGTAGGAGACACACACACGCACAGTATGTGGTTAATACATAAACTTTTTACATAAACAGATTAAGCAAAATTAACTGTTTTCTCTAAGTTTTTCTTGTCTCTTTCCAGAGATCCTCACTCTGAAAGAAGTCTTCCAGATATCCAGTGATGGTAAGTCTATCATCACTACTTAGGGCTGCAATTCATTTTCTTTGTCAGGTTGTTTTGATGGATATTTTCCCTCCAGCACTCTTAGCTCCTGTTGCTTTGTTAATATGATTCCTCTACTGCTGTAGTGGAATGTTTTTTTGTCCCACAGTTCATTTGATTTTCTCAGACAACAATCTAACTGTACTTGTCAAAGTACCTTTTTTATTTCAAGTAGATCAGAGAGCAGTGGATGCAGATCTACTTCATAACATTAAGTCAGTTAATACATTTTCTGGTATTTTTTTAATAATCAGAAGAAAAAAGGTAGAAATTGTCACATCGGAGACACTAAAAAATATGACACTGATTTTCACCTTGTCTTTTTGTCTTTATCGCTGCTTTGTGATTCTAACTCGTTTCATCTGAGCAGGGAAAAAGGAAAGAAGAAGAAAAAATGTATCACTCCCACAAATATATAAGTATATACATATATATATATAGATATAACCACCCGTTTGGCTGTTTCTGTGTGCAGATCATGACACAGCCATTAATCGATACAGCCGCCTGTCCAAGAAGAGGGACAATGACAAGGTAATGTCATTAGTGGGTTTATCCTTCAGATAGATACTAAACTCTTTGGTAATTTTTTATTTCACGGGTCTGTGATGTGTAAATAATTTGCTGCAAAGTTTGTACCAAATTACACAATGAAATTTCAGCAGAAACAATTAAGATAATACAATAAACATTTAACTTCATCATTATACAGTTGTTAGTGTTTAAAAGTTCTGCTCCTCTATGAACATTTCACATTACAGTGAAATGATAATATCTCAGTATATGAGACCTTATCTCAAAACTGAACTAAGAGTGAAGACTTGTTTGTTTCAGATGCGGGCCGAGGTCGTGGAGGACGTCTACACTTCCCGCAAGAAACAGCATCAGACCATGATGCACTACTTCTGTTCACTGAACACATTACAGTACAAGAAGAAAACGGCCCTGTTGGAGCCGCTGCTGGGCTACATGCAGGCCCAGGTACACACACACACACACACACACACACACACACACAGCTCTGATTCTGTGAAGTGAAGCTGCGACTATCAGTCAGGTAGAAACACTGCTGTGGTGTTGTAGCGGAGCGGCCAGTGAAGGTGCAGGTTCATTTGGAATCAGACATTTTGTGTTTTCTCTGTGCAGATCAGTTTCTTCAAGCTGGGGTCAGAAAATCTTACCCAGCAGTGGGAAGACTTCCTGGGAACCATCGGAACCAGCGTCCAGAAGTAAGAACCCACCGACTCATGCCCTCCAAAAATAGTCTGAAATTTCTCCTCCCTTTGTCCGTTCTATGTTCACAATCTTCAATGTAAAGTTTTATCAACAAGAACTCAAGTTTAAATGTGTCACAAATATGCAGAGATTAGCGGCGTGTTAAAAAAATGTCTTTGTGTGTTTAGTGTCCGTCGGGAGATGGAGGAGGAGGTGGGGCAGATGCAGCAGACCATCCAGCAGATAGAGACATCATGTGACACACTGTATGCGCCATGTGACCCTGACCCTGCCCACTCACCTGTCTGTCGCAACCTGACCAGGAAACAGGGCTACCTGTATATCCGCAAGTAAGACACACACACACACACACACACACACACACACACACTCACACACACACACACTCATCTATATAAAGATGGACGACATGAAAGTGATGCCTTGATGCATCTTGATCAACCCCCGGTGGCTGGCTGCAGTATAGGTCATTAACCCCACCTTCTCCATGTTAGCAGATGGGACATGGAACAAAATAAAAGTACATAAGATTTTAGCAGAAGTGGTTCTGGTTATATACACTGTACTTTTTTAATTATGTGCCTGGACCCTGCTCACTGCTGCTCTGCTGGTAAAACAACAAATAAGTTGAAAGTTGTTGACACTTCATTTGTTTGTGAGTTGGTTGAAGTGACCCCACTGCGTGTGTCTCAGTAAAACAGGTCTGGTGTCTTCATCCTGGGAGCGACAGTACTTCTTCACGCAGGGTGGTAACCTGATGCAGCAGGGCCGTGGAGAGGTGGCGGGCGGGCTGGTCACAGACCTGGATAACTGCTCCGTCATGGCAGTCGACAGCGACGACCGCCGCTTCTGCTTCCAGGTCACATCCTTCGATGGCAAGAAGTCAGAGCACTTCCCGTTCTTTACACTGTAACTCTTCTCTGATACTCTCCTCATTTTAAGTACTGATGCCACTTTCTCTTGCTTTGTGTTCCGTCAGAGTGGTGACGCTGCAGTCGGAGAGCAGGAAGGACTGTGAGGAGGTAATTAATTTTTTTGTCATGCGTTTGCGACGACTGTCAGCTGTTCTGGTGTTTTCTCACGCTGTCTGTCTGCCGCTTCTTCCTCCAGTGGATCTCCACCATAAACAACATCTCTAAGAGGATCTACCTGAGTGAGAATGCAGAGGTCTGTGTCCGTCTTCCCTCATTATCTTCTATCACAGTCTGAGGTCACAGAGGAAACTTTGAATGATATTTTTAGGTGTAGTCATCCGCTACCAGCAACAGCTCTGTTTTCCGTCAATGCTTTGTTTAGGTGTCCACATAGTTTTGGCAATGTTGTGTATCTAATTAAATGTCAGTGGATGTTTATGAATTAAAAGTCACAAGATGCAGAAAACAGGATCTATTGACCAAAACTGTTTTCAAATTGTTTTCCTATCGGTCGATGCTGAAAGTACTGTCTTCCCATTGGCAGGAGCTGGCAGCCAGAGTGAACCAATCAGCTATTGAGGCTGTGACGCCATCACCGTCCTTCCAGCAGAGACACGAGAGCATGAGACCCAGCAGGTAGTTCTGACACTGACGCGCTGTGATCGGCTACCTCACAACCTCACAGCTGTTTCATGAAGATGGACCTCCCCCGGTGTCGATCAGATTTCTAAACACCTCTCTTTCCATTCCAGTAAAGGACGTGTGGGCCGAGCGAGCAGTATTAGCTCTGTGGGGTCCGAGCCATCGCCCGCTCTTTCTGTACTCTCACTGGATGCGCTGGTTGCCCCGGAAACACCCATCCAGTTTGACATAATTTCCCCCGTCAGTGAAGAAATCTCAGGGCAGAGCAAGACGGCGGCACAGTCTGGCAGGTGTGTGTGTGTGTGTGTTTGTAAAACGCAAAACGGGATCAATACAAAAATAGATCTTCGCAAATCATTTATCCCAGCGTCACCAATTCAACCTGAGGAAATGTGTGTGTGTGTGTGTGTGTGTGTGTGTCCTACAGAAGGAGTAATCCGTTCGGAGAGTCTGGAGACAGCACATCAGAAGACAGTGAAGGTAACTGTGCGTGTTTGTCTCGTTTCCCTCGTTGTTGTTTTCAAGTAGTGCTTTTGTTTTAGAAGACAAAAAGTTTCAAGGCTGAGAAACTGTTCGTCTGGTTAACTTTTCCACCTCAGATAAAAAATCAGCACTCATCCTCCTCTCTAAGCTTCTCAGTCTTTTATTGAATATAAATTGTTCTGTGTATAATTTTTCCTGCGGCCGTGTCGTCCAGAATCGATCCTCCACCAGCTCTTCATCGTTCGCTTCCTGGGCTCCATGGAGGTGAGGGCGGCCGAGTCAGCAGACGTCATCTCTGAGACCATGAGACAGATCCTGGCCGCCAGAGCCATTCACAACATCTTCAGGATGACTGAGTCCCACCTGCTGGTCACCTGTGACTGCCTCAAGTAAGAACACCGCACGTTTGTATTGAGACGGCGAAGCTGTTTTCATTTTTTCTATTTTAATGCAAGTGTGTTTTTTCTTTCAGGCTTATTGATCCTCAGACACAAGTGACTCGACTCAGGGTAAGAGGTGTTATGTTTCTAATTGTCCATGATTGGTTCCAGTCCTCTCTTTTCTAATTTTATTTTTCTCTTTTCTCCTCCTCCTCTTCCTCCTCCTCCTCCTCCTCCTCCTCCTCTCTCCTGCTGCAGTTCCCTCTGTCCAGTGTGGTTCAGTGTTCGTCCCATCAGGACAACAAGAGGCTGTTTGGTTTCGTCTTGCAGCCAGCGAGCGGTCGGGGCGACAGCCGAGCCGTCTGCTACATTTTCGAGTCCAACAACGACGGAGAGAAGGTCGTCTCTCTCTCCATCTGTTTGTCTGACACTCTTGTTTTTACTGTCTTTCTGTCTCTCTGTCTGACCTGTCTGTCCTCCGCCATGTGTTTCAGATCTGTGACAGTATCGGCCTGGCCAAGCAGATCGCCTTCCACTCGGAGATGGTGAGACTCATTTGAAACTCTGTTTAAAGCTAAACCATAGAGTGTCTTTAAAGATGGACGACAGGACAGCTCCCCAAAAGCGAAGCCAAAGTGTCTTGATTGCCCCCTGGTGGCTGGCTACATTATAGGTCATAAATCTTGCCTCCTCCAGGGTAGTGGAAGATGGTTTCTGTCATTTTTCGGTAGTTCATTGGTTGCGTTTGTATCCATGGTATTTTGGCTTCATTTCTGGATCATGGAAGAGATTCATCATCCGTCTTTATAAACAGTCTACAGCTTCAGCCAACTCCCTCACATTGTGTGGATGGTCATGATGGTGTTGGTGTGGATGTGAATTATTTTGTGCAGGACCGAAAGGCGGTGGAGAAGAGGAAGGAGCATGACAAGGCCAAAGAGAAACAGCAGGAGGAACTCAGCAAACAGAGACAGATAGAGAAGGTGACCTTTGACCTTTAACCCTTTTAGACTAGAAGCCGATCACATGAACGGTTCTCGAGTCAGACAGAGGTTTCTGGGATAATTAGGTCGATAACTTTTTTTTTTTGATATCTAACTAAAGTGTTGTCTTGTCAGGATCTGGAGGAGCAGAGTCGTTTGATCGCCGCCTCGAGTCGTCCTGTCAACCCGCCTGCCTCCGATGGACAGTTTCTAGTGCTTAGCAACAGCCAGTCAGAGGACAGTGACGCTGGGGACGAGGGGAAGAAGAGGGGCGAGTCGGACGCCTGATGACACGCTCAGGATGCATGTTTTACTCCCCAGGCAGGTCCCAGCTGGTACTGTCGAAGCAGCAGCTCAGGAATCAGAGGAGGGGAACGCCACCCGCCCACCGGGGCTGCCTGGGACTGAAAAACATGCGCTCCCTCTAAAGGACTCCCAGTCTTGTGATGGAGCCCGTCACTCTGAAAATGGAGGATAAACTGAACACACCCTTACTATAGGAGGAGGAGGAGGAGGAGTGGGGGAGTGGACGAGGAAACGCCTCGTCACGGACTTGTGTTTTATTCTGTGTGTAAAAACGCTGCTTTTTATATCGGCTCCACTCTCCAGAGAAGGAAATAATATAGATTAACCTGCAAGTTTCTGTTTTATATGATTATTTTATAAAGAAAAGAGCTACGAATAATGACAGAGGATATAAAGCAGAGCAACGTGAGGAAGAATTAACCAGGATCTGACGCCAAATAATTTCACATTTAAACAGGTCGCGGAGCTCTTCTCCTTCTTCTCTACACCTCTTCCAGGTTTCTTTATATAATGATATTTATATAAACCCCAAACATTTACTGTGGACCATCTAACTCAAGCAAGTCTTCATTGTTTACTGAGATAAACTAAAAGTACATCTAGGTCAAAATTAATTTGAAAAGATAATTTATTTTCATCTAAATTTCTGTTTCCTCACTATGCCTGTTTCTGTCGACGGTTTAATAAATAGATTTTCTCTATTTAAAAATACATAAAGTTCAGGCCGAGCTGATAAAACTGTTTTATTTTATTAATTCACTAAATGTAAGTGCGTGTCCTTCATCCAATCTCGACTGCCAAGTAATCGGCCGTGCGTTTCTCCTGACGTCACGATATTTATCTGTGCTTTCACACGTGTGTATCTGGGTCATTGTTTCGGGGCCTGTTACGCTTTCCATTGGTTTTTCTTCATTAATCCGCGTTTATCCAGAGCGGCTGGCAGCGACGTGAGTGAACTGTAGGAGACCGACTGAATAAGCTTCAGTTCGTAGATCGTAGACTTTGCATGAACAACGGACGAACCTCCTCAGTCAGCCGTGGGGATGTTAACATGCTGAAGACGTTTCTAAATCAGCCTAAAACAAAAGTTACTAATAATGATTTTATTTCTTGGTTGTTTGTTGTCTTGTGGGAGGACGTTACCTCGATGTAAGCGGGCGGAGGACTCGTGTTGGTGGAGCTGCACTTTAACAACAGACACAACACGACAGGATGGACGGTGTTGAACTGTAAATATGTGCTTGATGTTCTAGTGTCATGATTAATAAAAGGATTTACAGTGATAAATAAAAGACTAACTCCACCCGTCTGACTCCGTCTACTCAAACCAACCTTGAGCTTCACACGTGAATTTTAAAATGTGGATTTTTGAGTTAATTTTATTGTTCGTATAGTTTGTTACGCTAAGCTAGTTGTGGACTTTTTACTTTAGCCAATATGTTTTTGTTATTTCCACAGATTATCAATCAACACAAAGATGTTTTGTGTTTTTTATTTATTCTTTCCTCGATTTATTTTTTGTACCTTATTAGCCGCTGACTCTTTTCTGAGTATGGCTGCCTCAATAAGATATTTTTAAAAGTTGAATTTTTTTTTTTTTTTTTTACAAATTAGTTTTGGAAAAATACAAACAAAGGCATCCAGGAGAAGCCCCTGGAGAATGTCTAGTATTCACTCTGAAAGCTCATTCAAATTAAAAATCAAACCAACAAACAAACTCGCCACCATAAAAACTTTAATATAAACAAATACTTTACATCTGATATGTGAAAAAATAGAAATAGAAACGTCTGAGCTGAAGAAACATCAGGGTAATGACTCAAAAGCTACAATTACTGTCTCTATGTCCGGTTTTATAAATTATTAATTATGTAAAATAATACAGTAACAGATAAAAAGATAAAGATGCTCAGTGCCGTTAAATTTGGTTTCCCTGTAAAACTGGTGCTTTAAAATATTTAACAGATCACCAGATACACAAAACAACGTGAATCCATTTTTCCCAAAGAAACAACGACAAGTCAAGTAGATGTTGTTTTCTGACGCCTGGTGTCGCTGCGCAATA